GTCAAATTCGTACAATAACTAAAATCACAACAAGCGCTCTAAACTTTAACTCTTTTTCTCGTAAACACAATACATTTAAATTATTTTGCTAAAGAACTGTCTTCATATGTCATGGTGTATAGGTCTTTGCAACGTTTAGTGGAATTTGTGATTGCTTTGCCCTTATGCTCTTGGGGTGCCTGTGGCTGAGTGGTTAGAGCAGTCGTCCTCCAATGCAAGAGTTGGGGGTTCGATTACACCAGCTGTCACGTGCTGGGCAAGCCACGGAACCCCTCATAGCCTCCGATGTGTGTCCCATGGGTGTATGAATGTGATAAAGCACTGATTATTCTTTGTATTGATCTAGTAGAGTGCTGTATGAACGGGTAAATGAGGGCACAGATTGTAGTGTAAAGTACTTTGAGTATCTTGATCAGATAGAAAGGTGCTATATACCATTAATGTGTGCACGTCTGTGTGGACCTTCTCAGGAATAAATCCTGGGCTTAATTCTCTTAAGTTGGTCCAACATGTCTGTCAGACTAGCTCTGCCAACGTCTCACTAAAACTGGAGGACAGGCGGGTGCTGCCTCAGCATCTGACTGACTGTTTCTGGGATTTAGCGGGCCAGCGAAGGCCTCTTCAACAATGGGTCCTGGTTGACAGAGGGCTGAGCCCTGGTGGCCTAACCTAAATCAGAGTTAGTTCTGTGAAACTGAAGCCGTTTCAGCTATTTAACAATGTACACCTCCAGTATGCAGGTCAACCACAAAGTTTATTTTAATCCTGGAAACCTTCTGCACTAAAGCTGCTGGGTTTAGCTGTGAGGGCCGAGTTTTCCATCGGCCTTCTGACATCAATAGATGGAAAACCTGAGTTCTCAGTTTCAGATGGTGCAACTTTGCCGTTTGCTTTCCAGCAGAGTTATTTATTACTGGATTTCCTCAAAATGCCTTGAACTGCAAATTATGAACTTGTCAACAAAGTTAAAATCTCTTCTTTTGGTAAAGAAGTGAGGCAAATTGTTGTTCTAAGACAAAATATTTGTATTGCGACAAATATTCTCATCAGCACAGTAAGAACATTATATGACACGATACTTTTGTACAGGGTGTTGTTGTTTTTAGAGAAATAATTGTTTTAATAATGGGTTTCATGTAATACCTGCAGGGTCCGAAGGTTTTAAGATGCTGGCTGGACCAACTGGACTTGGTGTCAATTATTGTCAATTCAGTAACTCCAGTGACCACATCCTGAACCAGGAGGGGGTGTTTCGAGGTTAAAGCCTCAAATAAATCTGCACGGAGTTTGGATCAGAATCCATTAAGACTAAAAGCAGCAATTAGTTTAGTATTCTGGTGCTGAGGGCAGTCTTCAATAGAAGCGGTGATGGCGGGACACAGATTTACCTGCACTGTCACATTCAAAGCCACTGGCACCTCCTTCCTGTCAGGGTTAAAGCAGAGGAAAGTTGAGGGTGGCATTTTAGGGGACGGGGGGGGTGTTCACAGGAACACAAGAACGGAAATGCATGTAGCACCCACAGAGTAACTGAGTATAAAACGCAGCGGTGCTGTAGAGCAGAAAAAGCTCTGCCCAGTGCCACCAAATCCTCCTGCCAACAATTCACGTGTGTGTGTGTGTGTGTGTGTGTGTCAGCGGAAGAAGGTTTCTGTGGTGGGAGGGCAGACTTGTTCTGGTGATGGATGACCTGCCGTCTGTATGTCTAAACACACGGTGCCAGGCGGCTCCTGTAGGACACCGTGTTGTTAAAGGTGAGGGAGTACATGGGAAATGTGGAGACCTGTTTAAAAAGGAGTGACTCAATAATGCACAACTGACCAGAAATGAGCTTCTTGCTCTCCAACCCATAACTTGGAATGCTGTTTAGAGCTGAAATCATAATTGGTCCTGTTTTGAGTTCACCACAGATTAAAAAGTCGAGCACATTTCTTCACACCTGCTGCTAAAAATGCATCCATAGAAGAATCTCCAGAGACGACTTGCAGTTAGGTCTGTTACCTGCTTTTATTAAATAAAATGTTTCAAACTTCACACATTCAACTGAGCAGCAAACGGGATGTTACAGGTCCTGTTTGAGTCGTGAATGCGTTTTACCAGCCTGCCCTCATCACCGTCACTGGTCTGATGCCACAGCAGAATCCTGCAGAGCGGGATACATGTGCAGATTAAATGTCCTCCTTGTTGGATATCGTGCAGAAATTTTGGACAAGATCAAAGTTTTCAGGATCACAAGTGAAGGCTGTATTGATTTAGAGACTTGCCTGTGAAATGGACATTTGTATGAAATAAGGCAGATGTTTACCAGAAACTGACAGCTTCACGTATCATCTCTTGAAGCTACAAACAGTATTCACCTTTGTTACACGTCTTAAGGTGCAATAAGTTTGTGTTGTGAGCATGATGCAGTTTAATAACCTTGTCTTTCTATATTTCCTCTCTGTACTTCTTAGTCCAGCTGACACGTTCCACTGGATTTGTAGCTCACTCATAAACCTTCAGTTTAGCTTGAGGGCGGTTGTCGGGCCACATGAATGCTTTGAAGTGGGCCAGTCCTTGTTACGGTGCCATTCACAAACTGGGAGTCTGTTGGGGGCTGTACGAACTCATAAATACACTGTGTGTCACTCAAGAGATTAAATCTGTCTGTTGTTGCTGAAGCCGTTCAGTCTTAATATTTCTGATACGTGAGCAGTGTGAAATGTGTAAATGTAATGACCTTTTTGGGAAGTTAAACCCCTCCCAAGCTTTACAGCTGCATTTGTAGCTGTTTGTATATATTGGATGGTTTCCTATTGACATTATGGGAACAAACTGGTACAAAAATCATTACTTGTTTGCTTATTTTCTCAGATGAAGCTGATATTTTCATGTTTTTCTGCTGTTATATGTAAAAAAAAAAAAAATAAATAAATAATAAAGACTAGTTTTTTTTTATGTATTATAATAAAGCTTGTGAGGAGAGCAAGTCCAAAGACAGAAGAAGTTGAATTAAAATAAATCCCCTCGAGTCTGACTGCTGCAGCTGTGGGAACATCATTTTTAGTAAAACAGAGTTCTTCTTGTCAGCTTGTAGTAGGTACCTTGAACAAAATGTTCACGACAAACACAAACCTCTTGTCGGTGTACGGACTAAAGTGCTTACATCCTTCAGTCCCCCAAAACTGAACTTTAAAGCCTTTGTGTCGCTTGTCTTTTTTAAATTTAATTCAGTTCATTATTTTATTCTTGGCACAGTTTTAAAAGGACAGCAGCGTAAATTTATTTATTTATTTATTTATTCATTTATTTAAAAGAACTACCTGTACTTGTTTACAGGAGTTTGTTGTTTCACACTCCCTTATGATTTTAAAGCAAAACTTCACTGAAGTCATCAATCATTAGAAAATCAAACTTGGATTTAAACTTAAATTTATAAGTTTCTCATGTTTTTAAAAAAAAAAATTTTATTGTGATGGAAATGCATTAGAAAACGCAAACGCCTTAAACTGAATTTACTAAAATTAAATGTGATAATTTAAACTATTGAAGTTGTAAAATATTTAATGCAACCTTTACTTTTTATCACCTCTAATTAGAACAATTTTCTATTCTCATAATATTAGTAACTCTTAACCCATTTTATGTAACAACACAGTAAGACAAAATTTTCAGTCCCTTCTCATCATCTGAATGATCCACACGTCTCTGTCCATCCAGAAATGTCCTATTGTGCTTCCCGTAAAGTTTAATCTGCTCAAGATCATTTAACAGAACTTCATACACAAATGCATCATCACTAGACGGAGTGTAGTGTGCACTTTTCATCACCTCAGGGTCAAGGTCACAAATTAAGGTCAACGTTAAAACAAGATTTTAATTTTATTTGTTTTGCCATAATGCACATTTGTACAACCACTCTACAGATTGAGGTATAATCTTCTTCATGACCCCAGCTCTAAGATAAAGGTCAAAGTTTATGCAAGGTCTTTGTTTGTCTGGGCCAGTGCTATAGATTGCTGTATAATGGTTTGTTGATGGGCGTATAATGTGCCGTATGTGGTGCTCTTGTTATATCAGAGCCGTAGTATTTTGTTGGACACAGAAGTTGCAGACAAATGAGTGTTGAATGACGGTAACGTGATTAACAACTTCTAAACATCTGCCGTTGGATCTTGGTTACAGGGGAACTGCTTTTATTTTTAGAAAATAAGGTTTTAAAATATTGTGCAGATTCCACATCAATAAAAACTTTGGAACACTGACTTGTACATAAATTAATTTTCAAAACCCAAAATATTTTTGTCAGGTCATCTGGATGGTTTCTTTTGTTGAGACGTTTCATCCTTCATCCAAAGGACTTCATCAATCTGAGGAGCCACGAACAAATTCAGTCCCACAAGCAGCACACTCCCATAGTGGACCAACCAGTTTGCTGGTGATAAGATGGTTTCTGGGGCCCGCCCTCTCCCCCGTCGACTGTGGGACGGAGTTTTTTTTTTTTTTTGGTGGCTCCTCGAACTGATGAAGTATTTTAGAAGAAATGTGGGACTGAGTTTGTGGCTCCTGACTAAGTCCTTTGGATGAAGGATGAATCGTCTCAACAAAAAAGAAACCATCCAGAGGACCTGACTGAACTTGGATTTTTTATTTTTTTTTATCTGGATTATTGAGCATAAACTTTGATAATTTTCAGAACGATTTATCCTCCAATGTTTTTATTTTCTATCAAAACAAACGTGTTTTCTTCAGCAGCTGATAGTGGATTTGGTGAATGAGGCCGGACTGAGCGTCTCCGGCAGTTGTCTGTATTATAGACTGAGGTCCATAAAGAAACTTGCAGCTTGTTCTCAGGTTTTCTCTTCAACACAGAAAGAAAGTTTTGGTTCTGACGATAACCCTGGAGTTAATGGGCTCAACTTCTGTTGAATCCATCTGTGCTTTGTATGAAACACAAATCTAATAACATGTTTATATTTTATTACTTTACGAACGTCGTTTCTCTGCGTGTGTGCGTTCAGTGTTCCTGACCTGGGTGAACTGCTCCAGTGTGCGCTGGGCCACGAGGATTCAGGATATCTTCACAGTAGGGAAACTCCTCGCTCTAGGGCTCATCATAGTCGTCGGACTCGTCCAGATCTTTAAGGGTGAGTAAACGCACAAGTATTCCTGAGTGACAGGAGCTGCTTGGGTTGTTTCTGTCCTTCTTTATAGTTTTGTCTGAATGAACTGCACAAACAGGGAAAAACTGCATTAATGAAGATCGTAAAGTAACCGTGAGGGTTGGTTTATGCTTGCAACGCTGATTGATTAAAAACTTTCTACATCTGTATTTCTCAATCACTGAGTTAATGGATGGAATGATCCAGTTGCGAGTTCTTTAGCTAATATTGGAAATGAGCCGACGATCCATTGGTTTGATCTGTGCCGCTCTTCCATCTGTGTCCAGGTCACTACGATGCCCTGCAGCCCAGTGTGGCCTTCGAGTTCAGTCAGGACCCCTCAGTTGGACAGATAGCGCTGGCCTTCCTCCAAGCCTCCTTTGCGTACAGCGGCTGGAATTTCCTCAACTACGTTACAGAGGAGGTCGTGAATCCACGCAGGTTTGACGCGCACGAGCGAAAACACAGACGTACAAATTGGAGCTCAGAACTAATCACTTCCTTTGGATAGATTTTTCACAAAAACATAATTGCAGCTTTTAAATGTTATGTTTTCTTCTTAGAAACCTGCCCCTTGCTATCTACATCTCTATCCCACTGGTGACGCTGGTCTACACCATGACCAACATCGCCTACTTCACCTCCATGACCCCAGAGGAGCTGCTCGCCTCCAACGCTGTGGCAGTGGTGAGATGTTCTCCATCCCACTGAAGGGATGCTTTATTATGTCAGACCTCCTGAAGGTGACAGCCCTGTCATGAGGCGCACCTCAGCTAACCATGAAGATGTGCAGCTGCAGTGTTCTTAAAATAAATAAAGCTTTCAATGAAAGTTTTTCATCTTTTTTTAATATCTTGCTCTGGAGACGAGCACTCGGTCAGTAACCTGTTGTTGTTCCAGACTTTTGGGCAGAAGCTGCTCGGCATGTTTTCCTGGGTCATGCCGATCTCTGTGGCCTTGTCCACGTTCGGAGGGATCAATGGGTATCTGTTCACCTCGTCCAGGTACGCCTGGCTGCATCCAGCATGCCACATCTTAAATGATCTGCAATCGTTGACAAATGCTTCAAACCTCCTAACATGCAGGTTTTGAACCATGAAGTGTTTCTGTCTGCAGGTTGTGTTTCTCAGGGGCCAGAGAGGGTCACCTGCCGTATCTGCTGGCTATGATCCACCTTAAAAACTGCACCCCTATCCCTGCCCTGCTGCTCTGTGTAGGTGCTGCTCTGTCACCTCCAACACGTGAACATGCGTTAGTGTTTCACTGAATGAACGCCACTGATGCGTCTAATTCACATGCTTTTACCTGCCTGCCTGCCCCACAGTGCATCGCCACAATACTCATCCTGTGCATTGGAGAGACGCACAATCTGATCAACTACGTGTCCTTCATCAACTACCTGTCCTACGGGGTCACCATCGCCGCTCTGCTCTACCTGCGCAAGACCAGACCCAGCCTGGCCAGACCCATCAAGGTACTCGTGGGATTTAGGATGCAAACATTATTTAACTGTCAAGTTCATGACAAATGCAAATGGCAGGAGATATTTAGATATAGAATTATTAAAAACATAATTAATGAAGCTGATGTTTTAAAGAGCTTAACAGGTAAGTAGGGGACAAAAATGTAAAAACTGGGTTGTTTCAGTTTTTGTCTTGAATCAGTATAGATCATTTAAACCAATAAGATAATTGATAAATGCACTCTAATAGCTCCTTTCACGTAAATCTAACTGATGGTTAGTTAAATAATTAGTTTATGCAAAAAGGGACTTAAATGTTTAATCATTGTTCTCACTGAAGCACAGTCTTGTGTGTTGTGAAGATTTCAGTCACGTTGTTTAGGCTCCATCAAAAGCTATCAGACCTTACCAACCATCGAGAGACGAGCATTGTATTTTTATTTTATTGTATTCTTTCATTTTTTTATTCAGTTATTCATTAATTTAAAAGAAACAAAATAAATTCAAGTAAAAAGCTGAATGAAAAGGGTGCAGAAAGAACAAACAAAAATATTAGGCATCCTTCACATGGTATCATACTTTCCCAACAACTTTAACTTAATCATCTTTTTAAACATATAAATTGTTTTAAAAATCTTTATGGTGATTATTGAGGCAATTCCATAATCCTATTCCCTGAACTACAACGCAGCTCCTTCAGACTAGTTCTAAATGGAGGTTTTACAAACATTTCCATTCACTTAAGGTTATAATGTTTTATTTTTTAAAACAAATTCTAATTGGAGGTAATAATTTTTATGAGCTTTATACATGACTTGTAAAATACTATATTCAGCCAAATCATAAAATTTTAATAATTTCAACTGATGAAATAATATACTTGTTGGGTGACCATAGCACTTCCTACTAATAATTCTTATAGCTCTTTTTTTGTAAAAATAAAAATAGGATTTGTAAATGTTTTGCATGCTTTTCTCCAAACTTCAATACAGTAGATTAAATATGGAAAAATCATTACATTATACAATATATACAGAGCTTTGTCATTTAAAACCTCTTTTACTTTATACAGTAATGCAACTGATTTTCCTATTTTTATTCTTGAGTAATTTGCATGAGATTTCATGTCAGCTTCTAATCAATAACGACAACCAAAAGTTTTATTTCATTAACTCTGAATTTCAATATTGTCAATTTTAAATGGGATTTGATCATTTTATTTCTATTACTAAATATCATGTTTTGTTTTATCCTAATTCAATAACTTAAGTTGGAACCAAGTTTGTATTTTTACACCCCCTAGTGTCATAAATATGTTTCATGTCAGGTGTGTTAAAACACAATACGGTCGTCCCTCGCTATATCACGGTTCACTTCTTGCAGCGTCACTGTATCGCAGGTTTTTTAAACCCAGTTTTTTATATTGTGTGTATTGTACTTCCATCGTATTGTCATCATCGCCATGGCCAAAGTGTTTGAGCATATGAAGAGTTTATGAGAGAGTGGGAATGTCATGATTCCTGCCCGTCTGTTCACCACGCCCACCTGCTCTGCTGTGATCAGCATAATTCTTCTCACCTGGTGGCTGTAGCATGTAACCCTGTTCTCTATCCAGCACCAGATTATTGAAAGCCTTCTGCAACTAAACGTCCAGCGATCATCTCATGCTCCTGACTGATCCCCTCATCCTGACCCTGGATTTTCCTGTTTCACTTTGCAAAACTTTCCAGTGCGTTTCTACAGACGTGTGCTGACTCCCACATCTTTTCAAAATAAAGCTTATTGAACGCGCGCTATGTCTGGTTGAAATTTCAGGTCCTCCACTACATTCATTTACAGGCAAAGGTTAATAAGTGAGTGGGAAAGGTTTGTAGAAGTGGGAGAAGGGTTTATAAAGACTTAAAATATATATATAAAAAATATAACGCCACTACTTCACAGATTTTCACCTATCACACAGTAGGTGAGGGATCACTGTACTGCACATGCAAGATAGGAAAAACAATGCTAGTTCATTCATTCAATCTTTATTTATACAGATAAGTCACATTGAGCCTCGAGGACTCACTTACAAGTGAGACCCGTTTAGACAAAGAACTAATGAAAGTGACACATGTTGGATTTGGAGGCAAAAAAAAATCCTAACAGACGCTCATTCCTTGGCCGAAGAAAAATAGCCTGAAATTATAAAAAAAAAAAAACGCCCCGCACATAGGCATATAACGACGCAGACATTCTGCAGGGACGGTTCGGAGATAAAGTATGTAGAGAGAGGCTCTGAAGCAGTTTCACAGACGGGACAGAGCAAAGCAAAGCGGAGGAGGGAGAGGAGGGGAAAAGCGTCCGCCCTTGACAAGAGCAAGTGGTGAAGTGTCCAACAAATAGATTTTTTTAAATGCATGGTCTTTTAATATTTGAATAAAACTGTTTTCTTGTAGGATTTTCCTGTATAAAACATTTAAATTTTCAAAAAATACAGAAGAGGCTAGAGTTAGATGAAACATGTTTTTTTTTTTTTTGTTTGTTTTTTTGGCAGGTTAACATCCTGGTCCCGATCAGCTACCTGGTCTTCTGGGCCGTCCTGCTGGGCTTCAGTTTGTACTCCGAGCCTGTGGTCTGTGGTCTTGGGATGGTCATCATGCTGACCGGAGTCCCCGTTTTCTTTATCGGCGTTCAGTGGAAAGACAAACCCAAGTGGATTTACATGCTCGTCGGTGAGTGTCTGCCACTTCACAACACGTACAATCTTCTTGGTGTGTCGTGTCGGCAGATGATAACTCTGGCTGTGCCTCCTCTCGTTTGTGTTGCAGAAAAAGTGACGTACCGGGGCCAGAAGCTGTTTTATGTAGTGTTTCCACAGGGAGACTCCTCAGAGACTGAACCCCTCACTGCCAAAGAGCAGTGAAGTCCATCTTTGTGCACCAACATCTGCACTCCCAGTTTTTGTCTTAATTTTTTTTTTTTTTTACATTTCTTGCTCAGTGAATTCTGAAGTAATGTGTTCATACAGATTCTTGCACAGGTGCCGCTCGAACCGGACGAGAGTAGAAAAAAAATAACTTTTGAGATGAATACGAAAGCATTTCCTGCACTTGGCCATATTTTATTTCTACTGCTGCCTTGAGCACTAGAGTATTAACTACAGTACTTACATGATGTTCACTTGTACTAAAGTTCCTGTCATTATCTCTGCTTGGCTACAGTATCTGGACTTTATTTTTTTCCTACCTTTGAACCCATTTTTTGTTTGTTTAATCTGTTGCAGCCGTTTCCTGGGATCCCTTCAGTGCCTTGTTGCTGCTAACAGTTCTTAATGATATTTATGTGGCCCAACAAAGTCGAGGAGGATGATGATGAGTTTGGTTTGTTAGCTGGCTGGATTGCTGATTATCTTAAAAACCGCATGTTTGCGACACACGAAGGCGAGCTGGACTTCCAGTTTTCAATGTTTGCCTCCTTCAGTCTCTTGGTGTAGACGCTTGAAGACCGTTTGGAGCTTGTGACTTCAAAAATGTTTCCGCTCTGTGAATGCCACCATAGCCTCTTTAAAATGGTTTCATCAGCCAAGATGTGACTGCTCCCACTGTCAGAACTGTGTGTTCTTGTTTTGCTTACCATTAATGTGTTGTTGGATACCAGCAGACTGCAGTCGGACAGAATGAGGGGGAACGATCCCTCACGCTCTCAAAGTTTCAGTCCCTGCAATGATCCCGGGCCTACTGACTTGTCATAAATCAGCTGACTGTGGCACCAGTGGCATTCTGCTGCAATTCGTCAACTTCTGGAAATGCCTCGATTGTGTTTGTTTTGTTGACCAAGCAATGGTGAAAATATCAGTTTTGGTAATGGAGCTACTTTTACAACCTGTGACAATTTTGATCCAGAAGGTTTTTTTTCTTTCTTAACTAGCACTCCTTAGTTGTGTTGTAAATACAGCAGAACAAACAAAAGATCCGTTTTTTTGTTGTTGTTTTTTATCAAAACCTGACCTAAACCCTGAAAAGTTGGGACTGGAAATTAACCTGTAGTGCTTTCAATGACCTGACGGTGCTGGTAAAGCTTCTGTGCATCACTTGTTTGTTACACGTTAAGGACATGGGAAAAGGACAAAGGTTTGTCGTGTCCAGCAGCGCTGTTGGCTCTGACGTTTATAAATGCTGTGTAAAGAAGATGACGTGCGCCGGTATCACATTCCCCTCGTGTGTCGACATCTCGACGTGCGGTACAGTTTATACACGTACCTCTCTGTAAAAGACTGTACAGTTGTAATGATAACATTATTGTTCATTAAAAATAGAACTTCTAAGAAAGCTAGTTGTTTCTAGTGATTATCTAATGTCCTCACCAGCAGCTCTTCACGGCTTTTTCCTTGATCTTACACCAGTCGGTGCATTTCTCCTTTTTTTTTTTTTATCCACTCCACAGGACGTGTGGCTGATTGCAATAATTAAAACTGATTTAACGGGGTATTTATTTAGCTCCTCCTTCAGAGTAGATACTTTTTACTGTGCAGGGATCCATCTGTGACGCAGCTACAGATTTATCCACTCTGGTGATTACTTGAACATGGGAGCTCAAATTTACAAGGTTCAAATGGTGATCAGGGTAAATGTTCTGAACATGTGAAAAAGACTAATAAAAGTGATGCAAAACAAATTTCAGTACGTTGTTGCTACTGGAACTGATATGGAAGCCCAGGTTGGCTCGCTTCTCAACAGAATAATTGGGGAGGGATGAGCTGCAGTTTCAACTTTATTCATTTCAGGCACCTTAAAACAATAAAAGCAGAAGCTGGGCAGGTTGTAAACAGCAAACTTTGAAATATACCAATGATATTTAGTCTCTGCAAAAAGTGGCCTCAAAATGACGCCTTAAAACATGGGTGTCCAAAGGTTTTTGGTGTGGGCCAAAACTATCAAGCTGAAAGGACCTGTGGGCCACAAAAATGTGAATTTAATTCAACGTGAACAATATTTTGGAGAAAAAACAAATTTACTACTTTTGGTGGAGAAAGTTAAATTGTTGTAAATCTAAAACATTAAAAGCCTCAAACACAAAGTTGGTTTTATTAAAAATTATTTGATTTGTTGGGTCTGTTTGTTGTTTTCATGTATTTGGAAAGTTCATTTTAGTCTGTTCTCAGCAACAAATGTAAAAAAAATTCCTTTTAAAAGGGGTCAATCAGTCTTTTGCACCATGAACGGCCCAAAAAGCTGACGCAAGTTCAGAAAAGTCGCCCAGCTGTCAGTCGCCACAACAGATTCAAAGGTTTGATAAAGTTGATCAACTCGTATGTAGATGATACCACATTATATTCATTTAAAAATATCCAATTTCCCTCTTGATTATTTTATCAACTAATATTTAGATGTTTTATTTCATTATCTAAAAGTCTCCTTTCTGGTAGAAATCAGTAAAGGTTTTTGTTGCTTTGTACCATGAAGTGAAAATCAAAAGATTATAGCCAAAAGTTTGTATTTAGCTTAATATTTCTCATTTTAAGATTGTTTTTCATTTATTTTGCTGTTAAACCTAAACATATAAAAAGATTACCAACTAATTTGCAGAAACTCTGCATCAACCTTGTAAGCCTGCTGTCCAAAATGACACCATCCTTAAACTGCAGCTGTGGGCCGCACAAAATCATTCCAAGGGCCGTAAATGGCCCTCAGGCCACACTTTGGACACCTAATGCTTTAAAGGGATCACGTTGACATTGACAAATGCTCAGAAATCGCCACAGAAAAAGGTTTCAACTCAAAACAGATGTGTGTATTTCTCAGTGCGACAGTCTGTTGGAAAACGAGCAACAAACGGTGAAAACATAAAACACCTCTTTTCACTTTCACCACTTTTTTACAGCCATAACCGCAAACGAAGAGCCACTTTAACAGCTCAGAGGTGTTGACCTGGAGAGAATATTTACAGTCCAATAAAGTTACAGAAAATTAAATGTAATTCTTGACTGTGATCATCCCAGAGATAAACTCCTTCACTCTTGAAATCTGTTGTACGTCACAAGGATGGAAAAACATCTGCGCTCACATGATCATTTTTACAACCGTTAACAGACTGAAAAAGAACAATTCACATACCGTATTTTCTGGACTATAAGTCACACTTTTTGTTCATAGTTTGGCCAGTCGTGCAATTTATAATCCAAAGTGACTTTATTTTTCCTATTCATGACACCGTTTTTGGCTGACGTGTTAAATGTTCATTCATATTGACATGAACCAAAGAGTAAACATCACCATTTGCAGCCGCGAGAGGGCCCTCTAGGCTTTTGACAACTATATGTTGTTCCTCTACCGCTAACCCCCCCCATCTTCCTTCAGAGTTGGCTGAGTGGTTCAGAAGTGACACCGAGGATGAAGGATTCAATGGATTCAGTGATGTGGAATGAGACTGGTGAATTTATCGGTAACTTGCTTGTCGGACTCGTTGACTTATGTTAATTAATGGTGTTCAGGATCCCAGGTATGTTCTGTGTGTTGTTATTTCAGATTAAATGTTTGCCCTTGCACTTTGAGAAATACTCTTCTAAACAAATGTGACTTATACTCCGAAGTGACTTATAGTCTGGAAAATACAGTATATGAAAACTTCTCTAATGGCACATAGATGATGTAGCAGCTGCTTTACACAAAACTACAATAAAGAAGCACGAAGGTGGCACATTTAGCACTTTAGAAGAAAACCTGCCCGAGTTTCACTCAGGAACCTGAAATCCATTTTGCTTCTGATGAAGTCCCTCTCCCTCATCACTGCAGGATACTCATGTTAAAGAACTGACGGGGAGGGAAATCTAAACTTACATTCTTTAAAAGTTCACCATCGAGTAGTAAAATATTTGCCCACCTGTGTCGTACATTAGGCAGAACAGCTCCACAAATGGTGCCCACGACGGGCAGAAAGGAGCAATGTATAAATGAGTCTCCACTGAAGACTGAAAAATATAATTTGCTTTTTTGTTCCCATTGTAGAAAATAAGAAGCCGTCTCCGCTCGCAGCACGGCGTCCGGTCAGCGGTTCAGCTTTGATTACGAGGTTTTCTCTCAGCGTGGCCTTCACATTCATTAGTCTCCACTGCACTGAATCAGAGTTCACAGACCGGATCGTTCAAGCGACAGAACGAGTGGCTGAGCAGATTTACAGGCAACATCCTCGCAGTTTGCAAAACTTTATGAAAACCTCTTCTTTTGTTTTTTCTTCCTTCAAGCAGGTTGGTGCATCACAGAAGAGTGCAGCTCAAACATGATCAAGCCTGGACAGAAGCCTATGATATTAAACAAGCGTTGGACATTTAGAAACAAAAACACCTAAAAAAAGATGGTTTCTAAGAAGTATGCAGTTTGCAGAAATACAAAAAGAAGTGTGGAAACGTTTCTAGTTTTGTCTTTGGAGTACGTACTTAAGCACATAGGAAACATAATCAAGCTTTGCACAATAAGTGAAAACAAACATTAATATTTGCCTTTTCTCCTGTTTTTAGTCGTCTTGCTGTGACGTCTGTGTTAACACAAGAAACCACTGGCAGAATATTCTCCCATCATAAACATGAGGACTTTAGGACGTAACGTCTGTCCCAGAGCAGCTGACTCTCGATGGCCTGGTTGCGTGTGGATCGACTGTTGTGTACCAGATGTTTACACGCGCACAACACAAGTGTGTTTTTGCTCTTTACATCCAAATTAAAACTTTGCCAGAAGAGATGAACGGTTTGCAGCAGTGACTTCCTGCTGCAGAGGAGCAGCATTTGGCGCCACCTAGTGGGCTAATATGAAAATCCAAAGTGGAGGGGCAGAGGGGAAAAATGGAACAGAAAGGAATGCATTCAATATGAAATGGCAAATATGCTTTTCAGAAATCTATTTATAATGGATGTCAATGGGTCTGTTTTAGTAAAGTGACTGGGAGTTTATGAGTGTTTGACATCAAAACGGTAAATAAAAACATAAAAATAACTGTGGCTGATTTTTCCTCACAAGACCCTCTGAGGGTTAAATATGAGGCGTTTAGCTTGTCTTTATTAACACGAATACCAAAAACAAGAGGATTGTGTTTTTCTTTGTGCTAAGAAAGCTGGTTGTGTTCAAAGAACAGAACAAACTCTCAAACAATAGATTTTATAAATATGTGCATAAAGCAGCCGCCAAGCTTTTCTCTAAGAGTGACAGTCCCAGCATCGGTAACAACTACTGTCAGTCTGATTTATTTATCGAAGCGAGCCACGACTGTCCCAGACGGTTTTTAAATGGTGAATTTGAGCAAGGAGACGAAACTTTACGATATTTATCAACAGAAATAACTGTTGTGTGAAGGAAGGGGACGGATTGTTTTAGAGACTGAATGTCGTTAATTCAAAAACCAATAAATACTTTTTTAAAAAGTGCCCTTTCATGTGTTTAATTTAGAGAGTACAAGTCAAGCAGGAGCATGTTGTCTCACCGAGGGCGTATCGGATTAAACAATTTATTCACAATCTCAGAATTACAGATGTGACGTTCATATGATCCAAATCTTTTAAAAACGAACGGCGGGAACTGAGTGGCAGACAACTGAGAGCCATTAGTTATTTTTATTTTTCCTCCTCGTGATTTCTTAAGTTTTTCTCAGATGCAGACACACACACTCCTCTTTTTGTTTTCTATTGAAACAAACAGCAGACAAGGAGAGCAGGGCAGCAGATGTTCATGGAAACATGCACTCGGGTGGGGGGGGGGGGG